CCCTCTACTGGTAACCTAGGTTCTAGTTCTCCTGCTTGTGTTGCTAACTGGATAGGTGATTCTGGGCTTAGTTTCTCCTGCTACAAATTAAGATGTTCTGGTGTAGCAGGTAAAGCTGCTGCTTGTGGTCACTGGTACAAGTCCAGGCTGCTCCACTTCTGATTCAGCTATCGACTAATGCACCTGAGAAAGTAGCAGAAGATAGTCCAAGTGCTTGGGCCCCAGTACCCACATGGGAGAGGCTCCTGGCTTTGGTCTGGCCCAGCCCTGGCTGTCGCGGCCTTTTGGGGAGTGAACCAGTAAATGGAAGATCAATCTCTCTCTTGATCTCTGTTTCTCTCTGTTTCTCACCCTCTCTCTCTGTAACTTTGCCTTTCATATAAATAAAATAAATCTTTTTTTAAAAAAAATGAATCGAGATTGGAGACCATTTCTCAACTCCATCTCAGCTCCAGGATTCCCCAGGTCCCTGGGGCATCATTTCCAAACCCTGCAGAAGAGAAGCTTACCAGATTAGCTTAGAGCAAGATCCTTAGCAGACAAGCCCAAAGCTATCATCTTTCTGGTCCAAACAACAGTGAGATCTTAGTTTGAAAGGCAGAGAGAGACAGATGGAGAGAGAGAGAGATCTTCCATTTGGTGGTTCACTCCCCAGATGCCTGCACTAGCCAGGTCTGAGCTGGGCTAAGACAAAGTCTGCACCTCAGTCTGGGCCTTGCACCTGGGGCGAGGACCAAAGTTCTGGAGCCACCACCTGCTGCCTCCTGGGCTGCACATTAACGACACGAGTCAGAAGCAGAGTCAGGACTCCTAACCAGGCGCTGCAGAAAGGGATGGGGTGCCCCAAGAGGCATCTTAACTGCCCCCCAACAGTGAGTTCTTGTGATCAGCATGTGTTAGGGACTCCTGGCTAGTGTTACGCATGTTCCTGTCTTGCCCATGTTTTTTTTGTTTTTTTTTTGTTTTTTTTTTTTTTGACAGGCAGAGTGGACAGTGAGAGAGAGAGAGACAGAGAGAGAAAGGTCTTCCTTTTGCCGTTGGTTCACCCTCCAATGGCCGCCGCTGCAGCCGGCGCACCGCGCTGATCCTGGCAGGAGCCAGGAGCCAGGTGCTTTTCCTGGTCTCCCATGGGGTGCAGGGCCCAAGCACCTGGGCCATCCTCCACTGCACTCCCTGGCCATAGCAGAGAGCTGGCCTGGAAGAGGGGCAACCGGGACAGAATCCGGCGCCCCAACCGGGACTAGAACCCGGTGTGCCGGCGCCGCAAGGTGGAGGATTAGCCTATTGAGCCACGGCGCCGGCTTTTGCCCATGTTTTTGCCACTGTACCCTAATAAGAGTAGTCAACTGAGACTCGCATGCCATTTAAAACACTTGAGAGAGCTAACCCTGTTATCTTCAGCTTCAAAACTGAAGCAAATCGAACTCCCTTGCTCTGCTTTCTGCACTGCTGTGCTAACAGAACTGAACAGCAGTTCAACTTCCGGGCGCCTTGAGGGGCCTTTCCATAAACACAGAGCTTGTATACTCAGGGGTATACCCAAAAAATACAGAAAGTATCATCCCTTGTGTACCACATCTGGTGATGTAAAGTGTTCAGCTTGGCCCTTCTCCTTAGTTTCTTAAGTTCTGAAGTGAGACAAGGGAAGGATGGAATTGTTTCTCCTCCCACCCACAAACCTCAGCCTTCTCACTCTTCCACAGTCCACCTGGTGAGGACAGGGAAGCACAAAGCACAAAAGAAAAGATGCATGTGAGACCTGAAAGGAGACAATGAGGCAATAGCTTCCCGCTGCCCAGGTGTTGTGTTTCCAGCTCGTCCCTCTTATGTTAGAGACTGGCCACTTCTAGGGCGACCTGGGGATTCATCCCCTCTTCCCTGCTCGCCAGGCACTTGGATAATGAAGCTGAGCCGTCTTCATCTGTATTTCCCACAGACAGAAGGTCAGTGTCTACAGCCTGGTGAAAAACGAGGCAGACTTTTCCGCTGTAAAGACAGACACATGGGCTGAGCACCTGTTGGTGGGCTCCCTTCAGAGGGCTCTAGGCTGACCCTGAAGATGGTTGCAGTGCTGCAGATGGCTGAGTGCCTAGGTCTGCTTCCTGGAATGCGATGTGCAGTGTCTGGTTCTGCATTCTCTCCTCACCTTTGCCCCTTGTCCTTTCCCCAATTACGCAGGGCCAGCTATGTGAGTCCAACCTGGTTTTGCTCAGATTTTATTCATTCAGGAGAGCACAGAGAAGAGAGGGTGAAGCTGTGGGTTTGATCTACTTAAAGTACTTGAACTGCTCATGCCCAAGGCCTGTGGAAGGTGTCTTCATGATCACCCAGAACCCAGCTCCTGTGGGAAACTGTAGAAATTGTTTTTTCCACTTCTGTCTGTTGCAGTTTGAGACTAATAACCAAAAAGATGGCCTGGATCTTTACCACTTTCATCACCACACCTCACTCCAACAACACCCTCCTCACTACCTTTCTACCTACTAAGCTGCTATGCATATGTTTAAAATTCCAACTTTGGGGTATCAATGGATAGAACAAAGTTCTTTTTTTAAAAAAACTTTGTTTTGGCCGGCGCCGCAGCTCACTAGGCTAATCCTCCGCCTTGCGGCGCCGGCACACTGGGTTCTAGTCCTGGTCGGGGCGCTGGATTCTGTCCCAGTTGCCCCTCTTCCAGGCCAGCTCTCTGCTGTGGCCCGGGAGTGCAGTGGAGGATGACCCAAATACTTGGGCCCTGCACCCCATGGGAGACCAGGATAAGTACCTGGCTCCTGCCTTTGGATCAGTGCAGTGCACAGGCCGCAGCGCGCCGGCCATTGGAGGGTGAACTAACGGCAAAGGAAGACCTTTCTCTCTGTCTCTCTCTCTCACTATCCACTCTGCCTGTCCAAAAAAAACAAAAAAAAAAAAAAAAAAAAAAAAAGTGAAAAAACTGTTTTAAAGGCAAAGTGACAGAGAAAAGCAGAGAGAGAGAGAGAGAAAGAGAGAGAGAGAGAGATCCTCCATCCACTGGTTCACTCCCCAAATAACCACAACAGCCAGAACAGGATCAGGCCAAAGTCAGGAGCCAGGAGCTTCATCTGGGTCTCCCACATAGGTACCAGGGATCTAAGTACCTGGACCATCCTCCACTGCCTTCCCAGGTGCACCAGGAAGTTGTATCGAAAGTGCAGTAGCTAGGACCTGAACTAGCACTCTGATCTGGGATGCTGGCATTGCAGATGGTGGCTTAACCCCCTGTACCACAATACCCAGCACTGGATCTGATTAACTTCTGTGGAAGATTTTAAGAGTTTTAATTTCTTGGGATGTCTATCCTATTTCAGGCATTCAGAGCCACTACCCAGAGAAAACTTGACTTCCTCACATTTTTGTTACCAATATTTAGAGCTCTAGGAAAGTCTTAGGGGAGAAGAGTGGGGCAGCTGATGTCTTACCTGCCTCTGCAAGCGAGACCCTGATTGATCCTCACCATTGCTTGTCAGGGAGTCTGACAGGAAACCTGTGTCTAGAAAGAACACCATGCCTGTTCATATGTGATAACATGTTCCAGGGCTGTGGAACACTCAGGATGCCAAGTGGACTCAAAAGAACAGGGGAGGGGCTGGCACCATGGCTCACTTGGTTAATCCTCCACCTGTGGCGCCAGTTGCTCCTCTTCCAGTCCAGCTCTCTGCTGTGGCCAGGAAGGCAGTGGAGGATGGCCCAAGTGCTTGGGCTCTGCACCCACATGGGAGACCAGGAGGAAGCACCTGGCTCCTGGCTTCGGATCGGCGTAGCGCGCCGGCCACAGCAGCCATTTGAGGGGTGAACCAATGGAAAGAAGACCTTTCTCTCTGTCTCTCTCTCTCACTGTCTATAATTCTACCTGTCAAATAATTATTAAAAAAAAAAAAAAAAAGCCGGCGCCGCGGCTCAACAGGCTAATCCTCCACCTTGCAGCGCCGGCACACCGGGTTCTAGTCCCGGTTGGGGCGCCGGATTCTGTCCCAGTTGCCCCTCTTCCAGTCCAGCCCTCTGCTGTGGCCAGGGAGTGCAGTGGAGGATGGCCCAGGTCCTTGGGCCCTGTACCCCATGGGAGACCAGGAGAAGCACCTGGCTCCTGCCTTCGGATTGGCGTGGTGTGCCGGCCACAGCGCACCAGCCGCGGTAAAAAAAAAAAAAAAAAAAAAGGGAACGGGGAGAGAATCTGTGTCTCCAGAGGTTACAACATGACCTGCCGTTCCCCCTTCCTCACCAAGGCTCCTCTTCTGAATGGGGAGATTGTTTCTAGCTGCTGCGTATTTGGCTCACGGTGCTGAGTTTACACTACGTCCGCGCCTACCTCCCTGCGTGACGTTTATGCCGCTGTAAAGCCACTTTCCTCCCAAGATCTTTGAGCCAAGCCTAGCTTGTGTAACTAACTTCCTCCTGCTGCGATAAGTCCCCAGTTGCCACTGCCTAACTTGACCCAGTTCTTCTTAGTTCTGGCTGCCCAGTCAGGCAGGGATTACTCAAAGGGGTAGGAGGGGAAAGGTTGGGAGGACCTGGTGCCAGGAGATCTGAGCAGAGTAGAGCACATCCAGGAGTTTGCATCTGGCTCTCAGCCAGCCCTGGGAACGGCGGAGTCTCAGCCCTCTTACTCCCAGGGTTACCAACTTGGCATTTAGACCAGGTGGAGGCAGCTAAATACCAATTTTGCCTGAGATATGTCACAGAGCACCTGTTTTTGTTTTTGTTTTTTTGACAGGCAGAGTGGACAGTGAGAGAGAGAGACAGAGAGAAAGGTCTTCCTTTGCCGTTGGTTCACCCTCCAATGGCCGCCGCGGCCGGCGCACTGCACTGATCCGAAGGCAGGAGCCAGGTGCTTCTCCTGGTCTCCCTTGGGGTGCAGGGCCCAAGCACTTGGGCCATCCTCCACTGCACTCTTGGGCCACAGCAGAGAGCTGGACTGGAAGAGGGGCAACTGGGACAGAATCCGGCGCCCTGACCGGGACTAGAACCCGGTGTGCTGGCGCCACAGGTGGAGGATTAGCCTAGTGAGCCGCGGTGCCGGCCTACGGAGCACCTGTTAAGAGCAATTAAGATGGAGGAGATTTCAGTTTCTTGTTAGGAAGACAGCCCGACACCGAAAACAACTCCTTCAGACCCCTCTGGAAGTTATTTTGGGGCTACTTGGGCAGGAGTCCGAGAATGATGTGCACCTCCTGAGGCAGTGCTAGCTGAATGCTGTGCTTCAGCTGTTCTGCCCACCTAGTGCTGGTCTAGGCCCTGGTTCCCTCTCTCTCTCTCTCTCTCTCACTCACACGCATACAGAGAGAGAAACGCTTGCATTAGCTTCTCTCTCCCTGTGGAGCCAGCTCAACTTGTTCTTCCTTTTTAAGTAACAGACCCCACTCCCACAGGAATCACACCAAAGGAAAAGATGCCTTAATTGATGTTAGAACCAGAAAAAAAGCCAGGAGGTCCATGCAGGCCTCCAGTAACCCAGCTTTGAAAGGAAGCAGCGTGCTTTCATGAGAGCGTATGCTCAGGGAGGCAGGAGACCTGTGTTCTTGTTCTTGTTCCAGCCTTCCAGGTGCCCTCAGACAAGCAGCTTAACTGCCCTGAGCCTCAGTTTCTCCACTGCTCACCCTTGCCTCTCCTGCATGGAGAACAGGTGAGGGAAGTCACACCAGGCACTTTGAGCCTTGCAGTAGTTTTGCAGAATCCCAGAGGGCACCTGTGGGGTTGATGGTTTGGACATGAAAGGCGCCCCTGAGTGCCAGACTGCCCCCTCATCTTTGGATCTCTGACCACCTCCATTTCTGTAGCTCGTTCCAGAGGGTTTGAGCTCTGTAACCACTGTGGACTTGGGCTCTTTTAATCACTGCCCCTAAGGGAACGTTCAAGGAAGCACTTATTACTGTGGCTTGTTCTAGCGGTCTGGTCCCAAAGCTCCGTGCATCCAGGGAGGATGTCAAGAGAAGAGGAGTGGAAAATAAATGGAGAGCAGTGTTTCCCACACCCAGGCTTCCTAGGGAACCAGGCTGGAGAGTAGACTCTGATGAAATGTAAGGGAGACTTGATTGCGAAGTGCAAGGAGGCCCGGGTTTCAGGCTGGAGCCCCAGCTCCAGAAGAATGAAGGGGCAGAGAAACAGACACTCTCCCTCTGTCTGCCCTCCTGCACCCCCCACCCCTACTCCACATGGTAGTGCGGGCAAATCCAGTCTCCGCCCGTCTGTGCCGTGAGATCCTTCTGAGAGATGGCTCAGGCCCTCCTGGCCTCACTCTTGCCTGTGGGGCGTTTACTTTTCCTTAGATGAGTGGAACAAGCAATCTTGGATATATGTAAATTTCCACCACATAGACTTTTTTTTTTCTTCCCCTTCTCCCACAGGCAGATAATTCATTGCAACAATTCACAGTCAGATAATTCATCGCAACAATTATCACTTTTAATTGTTCTCAGTTCCTGATTGTTTAATACTCGACTTCCAATTACTCCTTGCCTTCCCTCAAATAGGCTAACCTGCATTTTAAATTCAGAGTGCTCCCTTTAAAAAAAAAAAAAAAACAATACTACTACTAAGCATAGCTAGTAACTGCTAGGAGGGTCGGGAAAGCCACTGGAAGGTTTAATCTGTTTATCACACCTTCTGTAAGGGGTTTACCACTACATGCTGTGGTGGGCCACTCTCTTCTGTCTCCTGCTTTCCTGAGACCCGCCAGGGCCAACCCCTTGAAATGACTGAATCCAGCTTCTTCCTGTCATTGCTACCCCATCCTTAAGTGAGGCCTGGAGCCTCAGTGGGGGCTGCTGCGCCTGTCTCTGGCAGCATCCGCTGCATCTCCAGGGGCAGGGCCTGTGTGTGCTGGAAATCCGGAGTGCTCTGAGTTCCGAGAGCATTTCCAGCCTGGAGCTGGGGAAGCCTGCAGAGGTGGTGGGTGGGCGGAAACCTTGCACGTCGTCTCTCTCACCAGGACAAAGCGTGAGGTTTTCCTTCTTTAGGATAGTATTGGACCACACTAAAGCGATGCTTTAGGTTTCTTACTAACTCCAGAATGTTAAAGAAGAACCTACCTTCCTGGATGTGGCTCTAACGGCAGCTGTCTTCTCTCTCCACAGACTCTTTAAGATGGACATAGAAGACTGCAATGGCCGCTCCTATATGTCTGGTACGCCTCCTTGTGTGTCCCGCGTGTAGGGGCTGGGAGCAGGCATCCTCCTGTGGAGCAGGGCCGAGCGCCTTCAACCCAGGCACGCAGCCTCCAGATGCCGGCGTCCCAGAGCCGATTATGGGCTTGGTAGTACTTCGTAATGCGCAATTATTTTGGTGATTTACGTTTCCTAAGTAGTACTTCGCTCACCCCAGGCTTCCTGGGGGATAAGGACATGGGATGGGAAAACAAGTGGGCCTATTGGAGGAGCAATCTGAAGCATACACAGATGGAAGGAAGATGTTGTTCCTGCTGCTCTGATGTTACTGGCCAAACATGAAATTCCATGCCACCCCAGTAGAGGCAAGAGCAGAGTTCCAAACCTCCATGGCCTTCAGGGCCCAGGTGGGTGTGTGGATGAGGGAAGTAGCTTAGGATAAGAGCAGAAGAGACCATGGGTACTGTCCCGAACTGGAGAACACATGTCCCGCCTCCAGCAGCCTTCAGTGTCCACCAAGCACTGCCAGGTAGGAACGTGGACCTGGCATGGCCCAAACTTCTCAACCTTTCAAGAGAACTCAGAAATAAAAAGAAATCCAAATTTTCAGGGCTGGCATTGTGGTATAGTGGGTGGTATCCCATGCAGTGCCAGCATCCCATGTGGGCACCGGTTTGTGTCCTGCCTGCTCCACTTCTGATCCAACTCCCTGCTAATGGCCTGGAAAAAGTAGCAGAAGATGGCCCAAGTGTTTGAGCACTGCCACCCATGTGGGAGACCCAGAAGAAGCTCCTGGCTCCTGGCTTCTGGCTCCTGGCTCCTGGCTCCTGGCTCCTGGCTTTGGCCTGGCCCAGCCTTGGCCATTATGGCTATCCAGGGAGTGAACCAATGAGTGCAAGATCTCTCTCTCTGTAACTCTGACTTTGAAATAAATAAATCTTTTTCTAAACGTCCAAATTTTATATGAAGTATCTCCATTTAAAAATAATGACTCAATATTTTTAAAAATACTTCTTGGGACAAGGCAAATTTATCTCTGCCCTAAATTCAGCCAGTGAGCTGTCAGTTTACAGCCTTTGAAGGCAGAGATCAAGAGCCCAATTTTCATTCACCTCCATCTTTTTCCACAGTCTTAACACATGATAGTTTTTCACACCAGGCAGATATTCTCACTGGGGCAGAAGAGGTCATTGCTTATAGTATGAGTGGCATTTTATTTATTTGTTTGTAAAGATTTATTTATTTATTTGAGAGAGTTACAGAGAGAGAGAGATCTTCCATATCTACTGGTTCACTCCCCAGATGGCTGCAGCATCCAAGACTGGGCCAGGCTGAAGCCAGGAGCTTCTTCTGGGTCTCCCACATGGAGGGCTGTCTTCTGTTGCTTTTCCCAGGCCATGAGCAGGGAGCTGGATCTGAAGTGGAGCAGCTGGGACATGAACTGGCACCCACCAGGGATGCCCACATTGCAGACAGCAGCTTTATCTGCCATGCCACAATGCCGGCCCCATGAGTGGCGTTTTAGAGACATGAAAGTAATCAGGTTTAACAAGATGAAAAGAAATTAGGGACTTTAGCGCTCTCTCTCTCTCTCTCTCTCCCTCCCCCCCCCCCCGAAAATGTAGAGAAGAGTCTGTGGCAGCTTGTCTCTAGGAGAGAAGGAATCATGTCTTGGATCATTAGAATGCCAGGGTAAGAAATGCTCATTGGAGGTAAAGGAACCCTGAACTGAGCCACGATGGTGGGAGTGTCCCCACCAGAAATCCAGGCACCGTTGTGGAAATGACCAGTAGCTTATTGTTTAACTCTGAAGTAAGACCGATGAAGGAATCATCGGCCTGGACTAAGGGAGACAGCAAGGTCAGACACATGTATGAGAGGCATTGGCAACACCTGGGGAATGCACAGCTGGATGTTGGCCATGACCTGTTTCTCGTTTACGGAGGGGAGGCGTGAAAGTAAGTGAAGGCATTTGGTCCCTGATACATGTGGGACAGAATAACAGGGAGCAGGTGGACTGACTGAAAGAGACTTTACTGGAACTAAGTCGTGGTCCTTCCGGGGAATCAGCCGATCTGCCTACCTCCTGCTCACTATCGAGCAACAGGTACACTCAGGACCCTGCTTCAGAGCTGGGGGTCGCTCAGTCCCTGCCCTGAGCTAGGCAAATGAGACGCTATGAAGGGGGCTGGGGAAAGATCCCTTGGGGTTCTTTCGGTGCTGTCTCTGGAGACTGCTGGGTACCAGTGGCAGACTCGTGAAGCTGTTTGCTTCACTGTGCCCTGAACCAAGCCTTCCTTGCTTCCAGCAGGTTGGCATTTCCTAGAAAAGAAGCGGCCTCTGCACATAACGGTGTTTGAATGAAAGTGGAGGCCAGGAGCCCTTCACCTGTGCTTGGAGGATTCTAGAGAGGGACAGGGAAAGTCATGGAAGGGCCAACATTAGCTCTGCAGAGTACCCCCCCCCCCCGTGGGCCTGGGCATATGTGAGACAGCCCCCTTGAGGGCGTCTGAGGGCCCATCACTGGCCCATCTCTCCTGGGCTGACAGGAGCAGAGGAGGAGGTCGCAGTGTGGAACCCTCCTGAAGCACACCACGGCCCCTCCACAGGCAGTCTCAGCTCTTCTGCCTTCATGCCAGGTGGCCTTCTGTCCCCTGGCCACTGGGTGAAAGGGACAGCCCTCCTGTTCTTCAAAGAGATGTTAACACCTCACAGCACCTCATGCACAAAGCCCGTCCTGCAGGTCATTCTCTCTGGAACAGGGGAGAGGGGCAAAAATAAGCAGCAGCTCATTCATTTGCCACCCAGACTGCCCTGCGCATCCCATATTCCCCTTTCAAGGGAAACTGAGTCGCCCGCGCTTGCCTCATGCGGTTAACTGGCTGAGCAGTACCTGTCCCGTTTTCTGGGGCTGTGAAATGTTTAAGGGAACCTCAATGGAAAGGGATCCAGAGTAGGCAGCCCGAAGTTTCACGGCCCCTCCCACCCCCAAATTCTTGGAAACAGAAAAACGCAGTCTTCCAAAGTAGGTCAGCTCGTCCTAGCAGGGAAGGGAGCAGAGGCCTTGTCCTGAAAGAGGGCGGATTCCTGCAGGGCTGCCGCGGCCGGGCCCCCAGGGACCCAGGAGAGAACGGAGCGAGGAGACTGTACCAGCCTCTCTGCCTGGGATCTGGAGGGACTCAGGACCACAGCGCAGCACCAGCCTGAGACCAGACTGTGCTGGGCCTTCTTGCTGCCGGGAAGGCGGGGGAGGCTGTCGGTCCCCAGCTCAGGAGAGCGACCTCCCTGCTGGAGCAGGGGAAGAGTCTGGTGGGGGAGGGGCCCTCTGCCCAGAGCCTTGAAGCTGCCCCGTGTCCTGGGCCCCATGACCTCTGGGGCCTTGGCTTCCCCAGCTGGCAGAGGATTGGGCCTTCCCTGGGGGCCCCTCCCGTTTTCCCTCCCACCTCTGGCTCATCCATCTCTCTCTCTCCCTCTCTTTCTCTCTCTCTCTCTCCCTCTCTCTCTCTCTCTCTCTCTCTCACACACACACACACACACACACACACACACACTTGCCTCTCTCAGGCATTTGTTGTGCAGTTTCTCTTTGTCTGCTGGGCAGGAGGGCAACAGCGGGCGGCGGCATCTGTCTCCCCCTCCCTGTGCACACCCCCACCCTCCCGCCCCTTCACTGTCGTGGAAAAGGGATGCTGTAGCCCGGCGTCCCCCACCGTACACACCACACACAGACACGTTCTCTTCAGCCCCCTCCCCAAGCACATCCGAGCCTTCTCTCCCGCTCTCTCTCCCTCTCTCTCTCTCTCACACACACACACACTCACTCTCCACACACATCCACCCTGGGCTGAGCGGTTCTCGCTGGCTGCAGCCGTGGGCCCCTGCTCACCGTGCCGCTGCCGCTGCCTGCGAAATGACGGCGGTTCCCCTCACTTCCAGGAATCCACGCTTCCTGGAAGGTGAGTGGCTGGGCTCACCCCTGCCTGCCACCGAGACGCAGGCATGCACACACCACCCGCACTCCCTCGCCGTTTCCAAGGCGGCGGCCGCGCTCGCACCCCAGGGTCTCACCGGCAAGGGAAGGATAATGTAAGTTCAGGCAGAAGGCGGCCAGCGGAGGGGGGAAGGGGGGTGCTGGGGCTAGGGAGCCAATTCAGTAACAACTCCCAACCCGGAGGAGAGGGAGAGGATGGGGGCTGTGTGTATGGCGGGGGAGGGGGGCGTTCCTCCTTACACTCGCGGAGGATGGGAGAGGGTGTTTGGTGTTGCTAAGCAAAGACGGCGGCTTGGACAGTGGGAGCTTGTGGTGACATCTTGATTAGGCCTTGGGGACAGAGGTAGAGCTGCCCGGGGTGAAATGCCGAGACAGGCCTGGGTGGGAATGGGTGGTAAAGAGAATCGAGGTAAGGAAGAAGCCTCAGCCTGGAACAGAGCTCTGAGGGGCCTCGGCCTCCTGCCCACAATGGAGCTGGGCATGGGCGTCTCTCTGCTCCCTGCCAGCAGGCTAGCGTCCTGCCGCCCTGGAGCCCATGGTCCCGAGAGGGAAAGCGATGACGGTGAAGTCCCTTGCAGAGGAGTGTGGAGCTTCTCCCAGCTCATGGCCAGTCCCTCGAGGTAGCTGCTCCTGGCAGGGGCCAAGAAGGGGCAGCAGGAGCCAAGGGCAGGCCTCCTCCTGCATGGGGAACACTGAGCTGGTGGCCTCCTGCCTTCTGCCCTTTGCCCACCTCACAGTTCCTCTCACGTGAACCTCATGATTCGGCTTTGCCCTCTGTGGGTCGGGGGTCCACCAGCCTATGATGACTTGGACCGAGACCTGAGAGCAGCCCTCATTCTTATCTTTGACAGTCCGGGATTTCTTGGGCATCCCGGGCGTTTGAAATTCCCTCACTAGGGTTTCTGGGGCTAAGAGAGGAACCGCTGAACTTCCTAAATCTGACTCCAGGCCCCGTTACCCTCTGACTAGGAGTCTACATTCCTGGGGCCCCAGAAAGACTTTCTGATCTCCGGAACCAGGCTCATTTTTATATAGTAGTAGCCCCATGAAAATAGCCTTGAGCCTGGGTTTCCCTCTTGGCTTTATCCTGGGGAGGGTCAGAGCATCAAAGAGCCTCTCGAATTACAGCCGTGACTGGGAGAGCCACAAAGGATGCTTTCCCTTTAATGTCCCTAAGTATCCCTTTAAGGATATTTTCCCCCATATAGCAAGCCCCTGGCTCCAGGAGGCAGCCACAGCCTCCCAGTAAGCTGGGACTAGTGATGCAAGTTCACTCATCCTTTTAGGGTCAAGGCCTCAGCACCAGGGCCCAGAGCCCAAATCCCCCCCCCCCCCCCCGGCCCCGGCCATTGTTAACATGAAGTAATTTAGGGCAAGTGAGAACTAACATTCAAGAAGGAATAAGAAAGTGCCATTTGCAGCCCTTTTAACCTTAGGACTCGGCAAAGCACCTGCTTAGCTGAAAGGACATACTTTACACTGAGTCTGGGTCTCGCGGTCTTCACCCTCAACCCTGGGACGCTCACTTCTTGACATATGTGTGGTTCTGGTTTCAGGTGATGTTTTTAGATAACCATGCCCCACCTGAAGAACCCGTGGGAAAATCGGGTTCACACGGCTCTTTCTGGAGATAGTGAGCAAACTCCCTTAGGCTTTGATGGGCTAGAATGGGGGAGATGGGGCTTTTAGATGAGGATATGAATGGGAAATGGTCCCAAAGTCCTGAGTGGTTGTTTTCTTCCCACTGACCAAAGCTGGAGAGGGATCCCTCAGGAGGGTGTGTTCCGGATTTCTTGCCTCAGGCCCAGGACTCCAACCATTTTATAATGGAATCTTTATTTTGTGAAAGTAAGTATGTGCATAGCTGGGCAATTGGGTAAAGTACTAATAGGTGGACTTCAGGAATAAATTTTAGGGTTTTTTCCCTCTCCCTTTCCCTTCCCCTCCGTTTCATTCACTCTCTCTCTCACCCATGTTCAGGCCTGTGTGCACACATCCATGCATGTTCATGTTAGCAGATAATGTAGGAAGTTATGGGTATGTTTATCCCAGTAGGTATGCTCTCTGTATGTGTATGTACATATGTGATATGTGTCTCTCTGTGTGTTTATCTACATGTGTTTTTATTTTACCTATGTATTTGTACAGAAGATTATGGGGAGAAGGGATTTTTTTAAAAACAGACATTCATAACTTCAGGTATGTAATTTGATTTTTAAAAACATTATGAAGCTCTCAACAGTATTTTTACAAAGCAATTTGTGAATACATTAAAATGAATATATTGAGGATAAACGTATTTTAAATGTCAAGAGAATATCAAGTAGTGAATGTGACTGGAATCTGACCAGGCAGGAGGCTTTCTAGAGAGGTCCAGTTTTCGCTGGATTTAGAAAATCAAGTGGACCCAAGTGTCCCTTACTGAAACAGTGACTCCCCGTGGGCTGTTTGGATTGTAGTTAAGGACACAGGCCCTTACTGTCTGTGATCTGATCCCACTTCTACCACCTCCTGTTATGTGACCTTAGACAAGCAGCATAGCCTCTTTTGTGCCAAGGTTCTTCCCTTGAAAAATTAAGATACTGTAGCATCTGCTTTGTAGGGTGGTTCGTGATGGTTAAAGGATAGAATCCATTTTAAGTGCCTAGACCAACACCTGGCACGTAGTAAGCACTCAGTTAATATTAGCTGCTATCATAATTACTAGCTCGCCCTCCTGCAGACCCCCAACCTACTACTGGGGGCTCCGGAGAGCAAGGATAGGAAAAAAAGTCTGTCCCGAACTGCCGCCCTCCATGGGCCCCCATTCTGCTCTGGGCTTCGGCCCGCCCAGCCCAGCCCAGCTTCCTGTGGGCGGCAAGCTGTGATGCTTGCAGCGCTTCCCCTCCGGCCTAGATAAAGGTAGAGGAGGCACAGCCTAGTCCCTGAGTTCACGGAAGTGAGCGCCGGGCACCCCGGCAGGTGGGGGTGCAAGGTAGGGTGCCTGGCATACAATACCGCCTTGGCTATGGAATAGATGTTTGTGAAATTTAACTGAATTCTTTAAAAAAAAAAAAAAAAACAGGCAATGGACAGTAGATGGCTCCAACTCGTTGCCCTCTTGTTCTCTCCTCCAAGGTAGCGGGGACTCATCTCTGGAGAAGGAGTTCCTCGGGGCCCCGGTGGGGCCCTCGGTGAGCACCCCCAACAGCCAGCACTCTTCTCCCAGCCGCTCACTCAGTGGTAAGTGCACTGCCTGCCTGCCCCTTCCTGCACTCGGCACCTGCATCTGCCCTTGGCCCTCGATTCACCTTCCACTGGTAACCATTTCCCCATGGTTGCCTCCCTCCGATTTCCTGCTCAGAGCCTAAAAGCTCGAGGGAGCCCAGTGCCTAGGGTTTTTCTGGCTTCTGGAAAGACAGCGAATAGTCACTGCCAGACGAGGCTAGAATTAAAAGAGGCCTGGGCAGGATTAAGGTGAAGGCTCCAACGAGCAACGCCGCAGTTGGAGGAGGTCGATGGAAACGGCCATGAAATGTAGGCAGATTGCAAACAGACCCCATTCTCCCGTCTAGACGGGGTCCCCATGACCGCCCCTCCCCAGCTGGCCCTGGAGGTGACATTCTCTAAATGGTTCAAATAGCCAGGAATGTAGGTCAGAGCCAGAGCCAAAGCCTTCTCCATGGCTCCTCCCTCCTTCATCCCCTCCTCTGCCTCAGAGTTTTACCAAGGGGACAAAGGGGTCAGCCTTACGGGGTGGGGGAATAACGTGAGCCGTATCTGTCTTTTAGTTTTGCTCTCTCTCTAGCTCGTGGTCCCTTTCAGTCTTCCTCGAACTGTTTTCCCGCCACTGTTACCCACTGGCTTCCTGCGGCCCAGCCAGACATCTTTCTTTACGACAAGGGAGTGGAGCAAAAGGCTCCTCTCAGCCACCTCCTCTCCCCAGGGACGGGAGCCATCCCATGTACTCCATCGTTTTTCTCTTAAGGCCCATTTGCCCAGTGCGTGGGAGAGAAGGAGAAGGCGGTTCGGCTTCCAGCAGGACTCTGATGTCACAATCGGGATCATATTGGCCCTGTGTAGGGCTTGAATGTCCCAGGGCCTTTAGCAGTCCTGTTCTGGCCTGTCCTGTCTCTGTTCTCAATGCCACCCTACCCTGCAGCCAACTCCATCAAGGTGGAGATGTACAGCGATGAGGAGTCGAGCAGACTGCTGGGGCCCGATGAGCGGCTCCTGGACAAGGATGACAGCGTGATTGTGGAAGACTCGTTGTCGGAGCCCCTGGGCTACTGTGATGGGAGTGGGCCCGAGCCCCACTCCCCTGGAGGCATCCGGCTGCCCAACGGCAAGCTCAAGTGTGATGTCTGCGGCATGGTCTGTATTGGACCCAACGTGCTCATGGTGCACAAGCGCAGCCACACTGGTGAGTGAGCCAGAGAGGCTCCGGGAGGGCTCCAGGGGCACGGTGGTGATGGCTGGGGGTGGGGGAGGGGAGGGCTGGCCACAGCACACTATCTGGCTGATAGAGACTCCCCTCAACACCTGTGCTCCCCTGGCACCTCCTCCCTGCCGCTACACAGAACACCTGATACCTTTCTCAGGATGTGAAGCGGGGAAAGTGCTGTATCCTCAAGGAGGATCCTGTGGTCCAACCCTGGTAGGACTCCTGGGTAGCCTTTGGGGCCTCCCATCCCATAATTTTTTTTTGAAGAAAGGAAAACAAAAGCCTTCCCTTCTCCGCCTCCTCGGGCTTCGGAGGCAGAGTGGACCCTGCGGGGGCTGGTTATGGTGCTAACCTCTCCTCCCCTCTCCCTGCCATGCACCTGTAACCCGCGCCTTCCCCGGGGAAGCCTGTCCCCTAGGGACATCTGTCAGGCAGACTTTGTGCGAAGGAGGGGGCGCATCCCTGCCTTCGGGCAGGGTAGGTGGCCAGGTTCAAGCTTCAACGTTGCTCATGCGCCGCCCTCTGGGATCTGTGCTTCCACCTGCAGGAGAAAGGCCCTTCCACTGCAACCAGTGTGGGGCCTCCTTCACGCAGAAGGGCAACCTGCTGCGCCACATCAAGCTGCACTCTGGGGAGAAGCCCTTCAAGTGCCCCTTCTGCAACTACGCCTGCCGTCGGCGTGACGCACTCACTGGCCACCTCCGCACACACTCGGGTCAGTGACGGTCCAGCAGGACAGGAAGGGGTGGGTCCCAGCACACCCAGCCAACAGCGCTGAGCCACTTCTCCTAGATCTCAGGAGGGCACAGAACGTAAACAGGCCCTGCCCCTCCAATCCCTGCTCTGGATAGCAGAGCCCCATGGGGAACTTAGGGGACTCCGTGGTGGGGTATGTCACATCCGCCACACTGTGTGTCATCCAGCAAAAGGAGCACAGGCCGTGTTCTTAGCTCTTACCAGTCACCTTCCTCGACTTGCTTTTTAAAGATTGCTATGCCGCCAGAGCCACCTGTGCCCCATCACGCCACTCGCGCCATGGGTTACCATCTTCACCTCCCCTGCAGCAGCAGGGGTCCTGATCGGCCACTGTCTGTCCTCTCCTTAACTTCCTCCTGGCTCCTGTGGACATCCAGAGACCTCCCAAACTGGACAAACAGGAGCCCAGGACCTCCAAATAGGACGAGTATCCCATTTCTGTTCCCTGTTCCAGAGGGCGCCAGTGTGTAGAGCGTGTGGGGGAACTGGATTGGCAAGGTTTTCAAGCCCGGCTGAGACTGTTTGAATCAATCTCTCCTTGAATCAGCTGGACAGATAACACACTTCTCAGGCATTTACCAAGTTTGAGACTTTTGGCTTGGCCTTGGGAAGAGGCCAGGAGCTGAGCTGGCAGGAAGGAGAGAGCTCAAGATTGGGAAGAGACAGGAAGGAAGGGAAGAGGGGAAAGAAAAGAAGGGTCTGTCCTTGGACACTTTCCTGGCTCCTTTCTCTCAAACCCTCCTGTGCCAGACTTCAAAAGAACAGTGCAATCGCTGCACCGCCCGCTACACTCCTTCCTGTCTCAGGTCACCTACCTCGTTCCAGGTTCTCCCACCTTGTCAGTGGGACCCCTTTGTGTTTGTGGAGAAACAGGCAGAAGGAGCATCGTTGATTCAGGCTTTAGAATCTGCAGAGCTTGGTAACCATGTCTCTTCGTATGACTCTCATCACAGTCCCAAGGCAGATGTGATTATCCCCATGGTGCTGACAAGAAAGCGAGCTGGGGGAGGGGCGAGCGGAGGAATGAGTTCCCGGTCACCCAGCTCTGCTGCAGGCAGGCTGGGACCCCCACCAAGGTCCAGAGTATAGGCTCCTTTTTCTCAGAAAAGGGGTGGCTCCCCCTGCTGGTTTGGAACAAGGATGGTTTGGTCCCTAGAATTCTTTCCTTCAGGTTTTTTATTTTTATTTTACTTATTTGAAAGGCAGAGTGACAGGGAGAGAGACCACTGGTTCACTCCCAAATGCCTGCAACAGCTGAGGCTGGGTCATGCCAAAGCCAGGAGCTAGAAATTCCACTGGGGTCTCCCATGTGGATAGCAGGGATCCAAGCACTTAGGTCATCTTCAGCTGCCTTCCCAAGCACATTAGAAGGGAGCTGGATGAGAAGTGGAGCTGCCAGGACCCGAACTGGCACTCTGATGTAGGATGCTGGCATGGCAAACGATGGCTTAATCTGCTGCGCCCCAACACTGGCCTGGGTCCCTCGAGTTCCTAACGACTAGCTCAGCTGGGTGGAGTTCAGATGTTGTCCTGTAGGAGATTGTTAATGACAGACACAGACAGGTGTGAGAGATCTTCCAAAACGTCCATAGAGAACGGGCATTAGGATAAAAAAAAATACATGGATTTTTCAAAAATTGTACCAAAATAAGCTTATTTTTTAAACTCCATTTTCCCACAAGCTTTCGGAAGTCCCCTCACATACCACTGAGTCCCATCTCTATGAGATTCTTTCTCTTACAACCTACTCTATGAGAAAAAAGAGATCAGAAAATCACTCCTCTCCCAGATGTTAAACCATTTCCCCAAGGGGTCTTGAGTGGATAAGAACCTGAGTGTTCTTCTCACCCCTAAAATCCAGGGCTTTCCAGAGCAAGAGCAAGCTGGAAGCTGACTGATGCGGTCAAAGCTGAGGTCAGGCCAGGCGGCGGGGCCGGGGACAGTCATTACCAGTCTTCTAAAGACAGCCTCTCGGCTCCCTGCTCAACAAAAGCAAGCAATGTAAATTATACTTTACCTTCTTTCTCCTCGCTTTTCTCTCTCCTTTCTCAAATAAGACCTCTCAAGAATTATCTTTAAACAAAGTAGGAACCTCAGTTTTCCCAATAGTTTTTCTTCAGTAAAAACAAAATCTTTGTAAACCTGGTCCTTTAAAAAAAAATCCAAACTTGGTGTTCTCTTTCTTTTCCTCTTCGTTTTTTCTCTTCTCTCCTCTTCTCAGCATTTCTCTATCAGCAGTGATCTTTCTGGGGCTCCCTTGGGATCTCAGTGTGGAGAGAGAGAAAAGAATCAGGCAAACCCCACTTGGGATGGATACAAACATACCAGTCAAAGGTCAATGAGCATTGCCCCCTCCCCACATTGGCAGACCTAAGGGCACTCATTTCTGTCACTCCAACCCACTAATTTCCCCCGAAACAAAGCAGATGGTTCGTAAGCAAAAAACCCCCTTGTCTGATAAACAGCATGAGTACCCGCCTGCTGCCTAGAAAGGTTAAACCACAGTGTGGGCCCCAGACTCTGAGATCCTGGGGTGGGGCCTGCCTGCTCTGCGAGGTCCCTGGGCCCTCGCTTCCTTTGAGCTGCAGATTGGCCATCTTGAAGCCCACCGCCCATCTGGAGCCGGGAGCCCCGGGATCCTCTCATCCCATAGCTGCACATTAGCGCTCTTCCTACGTCCGTGTTTTCAGCTGGACCCGGGGAAGAATTCAAGTGAGCCAGATACTTTCTTGCCCTTGCCAGTGCACATCTGCTCCTGGATGATTCTCAGAGTCAGGACACAGGGAGAAGTAACTGACGCCGTCTGTCCCTTCTCCTCCACAGTCTCCTCTCCCACGGTGGGCAAACCTTACAAGTGTAACTACTGTGGCCGGAGCTACAAACAGCAGAGCACCCTGGAGGAGCACAAGGAGCGCTGCCACAACTACCTGCAGAGTCTCAGCACTGAAGCCCAGGCCTTGGCTGGCCAACCAGGTGGGGCTGCTGGCTGCACCGCGGGGGCGGGAGGCCAAGGCCAGAGAGAGTGCAGGGCAAGGGTGAGCCCAGCACCACGTCCCATGCAGAAACAACGAGCTTTGTGGAACAGTAACGATTACTCCATTCAGTCTGCTAAGCGCTCTATCCCGCAGAGCCCAGTTGGTGCCGAGAAGAACCTTGTGGCATGGGTCCTATAGGGACACTTTGGGTCTATGACCTCAGACTAACGGGAGAGAGAACACAGGGAGTATAAAATCAGGAGTCAGATGTATGTAACTGTTCCAAATGCTTTTTTTTTTTTTTTTTTTTTTTTTTTTTTGACGGGCAGAGTGAACAGTGAGAGAGAGAGAGAGAGAGAAAGGTCTTCCTTTTGCCATTGGTTCACCCTCCAATGGCCGCGGCCAGCGCACCGCGCTGATCCGATGGCAGGAGCCAGGTACTTATCCTGGTCTCCCATGGGGTGCAGGGCCCAAGGACTTGGGCCATCCTCCACTGCACTCCCTGGCCACAGCAGAGAGCTGGCCTGGAAGAGGGGCAACCGGGACAGGATCCGGCGCCCCAACCGGGACTAGAACCTGGTGTGCCGGCGCCGCAAGGCGGAGGATTAGCCTAGTGAGCCATGGCACCGGCTGTTCCAAATGCTTTGAAATGTTGACTGGGACGCATGTCAGGGTGGTGGACAGAGCCCAGTTTCCCAGGCATTAGGTCTGCCCATCTTGGGTACTGACGTGTTGGTTTTCTCCAGGCCAAGGCTGCTGAGCCAGTGCTACACTTGCTTAGCAGCTGCTATCTGTCCCCACCTCCCCCCACTAGGTGACGAGATCCGTGATCTGGAAATGGTGCCAGACTCCATGCTGCACGCATCATCTGAGCGGCCAACGTTCATCGACCGTCTGGCCAACAGCCTCACCAAACGCAAGCGTTCCACCCCCCAGAAGTTTGTAGGTAAGAGTGCAGTTGGAAAGGAGACATCGGCCACATCAAGCCACAGCTCCAATCAGTCCGAGCCCTGGTTGCCACTAGACCACAGCTTTCGGTCTAGAGATTCGACTTGGGGAAAGAAAGCAGTCTGGTGCTCTGCGAGTCTATCCCTAGCGCAGGAGAGGAGGATGTCCCTCGAGAGTGGAGAGGGGTTGGTGCGGAGGTCTGTCATGATGGTTGCAAGGGGAGCTGGTAGGGCACTCAGGCTCTCCCAGTTTTGTTTTAAATATTTATTTATTTGTGGCCGGCACCGCGGCTCACTAGGCTAATCCTCCACCTAGCAGCGCCGGCACCCCGGGTTCTAGTCCTGGTCGGGGCTCCGGATTCTGTCCCGGTTGCCCCCCTTCCAGGACAGCTCTCTGCTGTGGCCCGGGAGTGCAGTGGAAGATGGCCCAAGTGCTTGGGCCCTGCACCCCATGGGAGACCAGGAGAAGCACCTGGCTCCTGCCTTTGGATCAGCGCGGTGCGCTGGCCCCAGCGCGCCAGCCGTGGCGGCCATTGGAGGGTGAACCAATGGCAAAGGAAGACCTTTCTCTCTGTCTCTCTCTCTCACTGTCCACTCTGCCTGTCAAAAAAAATTTTTTTTTTATTTATTTGAAGGGCTGAGTTACAGAGCTAGAGAGACAGACACCACATCTGCTGGTTCACCTCCCAAATAGCCGCAACGTCTGGGGCTGGGCCAGGACAAAGCCAGCAGCCAGGAGCTTCATCCAGGTCACATCTGGCACTGCGGCCATCTTCCACAGCTTTCGCAGTCACATTAGCAGGGAGCTGGATTGGCAATGGAGTAGCAGGGACTCAGAAAGGTGCTCGTGTGGGATGCTGGTGTTGCTTACGGCAGCTTAACCCACTGCAGCACGGTGCCAACCCTCCCCTCCCCCTTCTTCTCACAGTTTTTGAGAGTAACAAGGATCTCAGTCTCTGTGGGCCTCAGAGTGAGAGAGAAGGGGGTGTGATGTGGTTCCCCACCTGACACTGGGCCTTGGCCCCCAAGGACCTGCATTTTATGGAGAGGGAAGGAAATATTAACGCTAACTGGGTGGGGGCTGAGTCCTTCTCTGAGATCACATCCCACGGAGGCCCTGCTGTCAGGGGAAGGAAGCGAGGAGTGTTGACCAACACTGTGTCAGCCCCTGGGGGAGAGAACAAAGACGCAGTCCTGGGGGGAGCTCCGGAATTCTCCCCGGCTGTGCTGAGACCTCCTTTTCCCCAGGTGAAAAGCAGATGCGCTTCAGCCTCTCGGACCTCCCCTATGATGTGAACTCGGGCGGCTATGAGAAGGATGTGGAGTTGGTGGCGCACCACGGCCTGGAGCCTGGCTTTGGGGGTTCTCTGGCCTTCGTGGGTGCAGAGCATCTGCGTCCCCTCCGCCTCCCACCCACCAACTGCATCTCAGAACTCACACCAGTCATCAGCTCCGTCTACACCCAGATGCAGCCCCTTCCCGGTCGACTGGAGCTCCCAGGGTCCCGAGAAGCAGGTGAGGGACCCGAGGACCTGGCTGATGGAGGTCCCCTCCTCTACCGGGCCCGGGGCCCCCTGACTGACCCTGGCGCCTCCCCCAGCAATGGCTGCCAGGACTCCACAGACACAGAGAGCAACCATGAAGATCGGGTAGGGGGGGTGGTATCCCTTCCTCAGGGTCCCCCACCCCAGCCACCTCCCACCATCGTGGTGGGCCGGCACAGTCCTGCCTACGCCAAAGAGGACCCCAAGCCGCAGGAGGGGTTACTGCGGGGCACCCCAGGCCCCTCCAAGGAAGTGCTTCGGGTGGTGGGCGAGAGCGGTGAGCCCGTGAAGGCCTTCAAGTGTGAGCACTGCCGCATCCTCTTCCTGGACCACGTGATGTTCACCATCCACATGGGCTGCCACGGCTTCCGAGACCCCTTCGAGTGCAACATCTGTGGCTACCACAGCCAGGACCGGTACGAGTTCTCTTCCCACATTGTCCGGGGGGAGCACAAGGTGGGCTAGTGACCTCTCCCCCTCCCCGCAGCCCACCACAACACCACTGCCCCACTTACTGGTGTCTAGCCCTGTCCCCACCACATCCCAAGGAGTTTTGCTTTGTAGCCCCCAGCACTGGCTACCTGACTTCACACCTGACCCTGACCCCTGTTCACCTCACACACCTCCCCCTGGACTCTGACCCGTGTAAGCATTGTGATGACACGGGTCTTCTGCTTGTCTCCACTTTCTCCCTCCTCTCATCCCAGCAGGAGCACTGAGTTATTTCTCGCTTAGTCGATTGCTCTTTTGCCTTTTTATTTTTGCACTTACGTCAGTCCCTTACCACGCACCCTCCTGCCCACCGCTCCCTTCCGCTTCAGGCCTATTTTCCTCCTCTTTGATCCAGCCTTCTCCAGCAGCACCACCGGTAGGAAGCTCCTCTTAGCACTGAGACGAGCTTCTTGCCGTCAGCCCTCCCTCCCTGCGTTACCGGATTCTTCCCTTAGCTCTGTGGCATTATATCTCCTCTCTGGGACCCTTCAGCCTGGTACTCCATACCTCTCGTGCCCTCTCACTGTAGGCAGCTTGCACTATCCTTGAATGAATGAAGAATTCCCTCATTTGGAAGTAGGAGAGGCTGAAGAACTTCTCCCCAGACACTGTCGGACCGCGGGTCCTCTCACTGTTCCTCTGTAGAGCCTGCACTCAGATCTCCCTCCAGGATGTGACAGACCCCCTCCCCTTACCTCAGACAAACCCTCAGTACTGCTCTTTTCTCTTCAACCTGCCAGTCTACTCAGTGGTGGCTTTTCTCTCCTTGGAGTGCCCCAAACTTATACCCTCAGGGGCCAAGGTTAGGTTTGCAACCCTCTGTCTCTGACACACGGGAGCCACAGGTGCCTAATTGGGAACCAGGGCATGGGAAGGGGGTGGGCCAAAATTCTCTTTCTCCTGCACCTCTCAAACTTCTTCAGTCTTGTGACTGTCCTAGGCTCTCAGGGACTCCTTCAGTCCCCATTCTATGAGAAACTAGTGGATTGCTGCCTGCTGACAAGGGGGTGTCTCGACCCCTCAGGTCACACTGCCTTCTTCCTTTCCCTCCTAGCAGGATTCACCCTCGCATCCCCAGGTTCCTGGGTCCTGTTCTTATCACCATAGGCAGGGAAAAGGGGGTGTCTCTCTTCTCTCCTCTGATTTTCAGTATAACCAAAAATTATCCCAGGATGAGCAAGGGCATATATCCCTCCCCCGTCCCACCCTTGTTCCAGCAAGAATGGGATGCGCACAGCTGAACCCGGGGTCATCCTTTGCTGCCGCTTCTACACGCAGTTCTCAGACTTGCGGGAGGTGCACTCTCCTCCGGGCTACTGCAGAGACCCCAGGTTATTTGGGAAACCGTGGACTGGTGAAAAGGGGCAGGAGGAGATACAACTCCACTGCAGATGGAGGCCTTTTTCTACAAGAGCCCCCTGCCCAAGGCCACAGCCGTCCCATTCTCTGCTTCCTTGAGATTAAAACCAAAGGCTGTTTTTCTATGTTTAAAGAAAAAAAAAAAAGAAAGTAAAAACCAAACACAACACCTCACAATTTGTAACTCCTGGTCTTTCTCTTCTTCCCTTCCTTTCCCTCACTCTTTCTTTCCACGCCACCTATCCTTATTGGCTCTTTTGCCTCCAGCTTTTCTCACTCCCTATCAGGGATATTTGTGGGAGATGGTAAAGGGTGGGCTAAGGAACAGACCCTGGAATTGGGGCTCTTAAGGGCTCGGAGAAGAGCCTACCTTACTCTTTTATGAGAAGGGAAACAAGTTTCTCGTCTCCTTCGTTTTTGTCCCCCATTCCGTGGTTTCCCAAGAGAACCAGATTGGCAGGGAGAGGCACCGTGGGGTGATCGTTCCCCCTTGCCAATGTAGCAATAAATAGATGCTGCCGAGGGCAGAGGCTGGGGGCTCAGCTGGGAGGAGAGCAGTCCCCAGAGGAGGGCAGAGTCCTCTCCGCGGTGCCCCGAGTGCTGGCTCCTTGTTTCAGGACAGCAGCAGAGCTGAGCTTAGCATCTGGGCTTCTTCTGAACTCTTCTGGTTACTGAGCCCCTTCCTGTTAGACCTGCCCCCCACCTCTTCTGTGTCTGCCGTGGATCTGGTGACACCTCATAAGGACTAACCTCTTCGGGGGTACCAGGGCCTTAGGGTGCCCCATCCCCTCCCATAGTCAGCTCTGGCACCTGCAACCTCCCGGGACATGAAGGACTATGCTCTGAGGCTATTCTCTGTGCCCATGAGAGCAGAGGCTGGAAGGGCAAGACCAGGTGCTAAGGAGGGGAGAGAGGGGCCTCCTGTCTCTCTCCAGACCATCACTGCACTTTAACCAGGGTCTTAGGTACAAAATCCTACTCTTCAGAGCCTTCCAGCTCTGGAACCTCAAACATCCTCATGCTCTCTCCCAGCTCCTTTTGCATTAAAAAAATATATATTAAAAAATTTAAGAAAAAAAAACCCACACACACACTGAAACCCACATGGAGAAAAGAGGTGTTTCCTTTTATATTGCTGTTCAAAGTCAACACCACAGAAACTGTTTCTAAATAGACACTTTTCCAGACCTTTGTGTGTGTGTGTGTGTGTGTCGGTGTCAAAGCTGCAGATGGGATTTTGTAATACTTCTGGCAGCTTCTTTCCTTATGTACATAATATATATATATTTTTAATCAGAAGTTATGAAGAACAAAAAGAGAAAAAAATAAAACACAGAAGCAAGTGCAATACCACCTCTCCTCTCTCCCAGGGTTTCCTACATAGCCTATGTTTGGTGTCTCCCTTGACCCTAACCCCTTCACCTCCTCCTTTCTTTCTGAGTCCCTCCCCTACCCTTTTTTTAAAGGGTTTTCCTCCTCTCTCAAGAGGAGTTAAACTAGCTTTTGAGACTTACTGCAAAGCGTTTTGTATATGTAATATATTGTAAGTAAATATTTGTGTAACGGAGATATACTACTGTAAGTTTTGTACTGTACTGGCTGAAGGTCTGTTATAAATAAACATGAGTAATTTAACACCCCTGCTTGTTTTTGCAGACTTCCTTTGCCTTTCTGTTGGGCTGGGGGGGGGGGGGTGCGGGCAGGCTCCTTGCCACATGTTGTAATAAATTCTAAATAGTTTAGCAGATGAGCAAGTCTATGACTGAGAGGAAATCAGACAAAAGCATGCAAGTTGTTGCAAAAGAACAGAACAATTTGCAGCCTAGAATAGGAAGTAAGAGATTTTCTTGCCATGGGTGACTTTGGGACAGGAGAAAAAGACCTGTCTAGCCACCACAGAGATTCAGCAAGCACCTGCTGAGCACCTACTATGTGCAAAACACATCATTATGACCAGGGAGATGGGTTACAATAACACAATAGTGATGATAATGTTAGGGTCTACCACTTCTTTTTTTTAATATATGTTATTTACTTTTTATTTATTTAAAAGGTGGAGAGACAGAGACAGACAGCTCTCATCCACTGGTTCACTCCCAAATGCCTACAACAGGTAGGGCTGGGCATGGCAAAGCCAGAACAGAACTCAGTCTGGTTGCAATGGCCAGAGCTGTGCCGATCAGAAGCTAGGAGTTTCCTCTGGGTCTTCCCATGTGGGGGCAGGGGCCTAAGCACTTGGGCCATCTTCCACTGCTTTCCCAGGCCATAGCAAAGAGCTGAATTGGAAGTGGAGCAGCCAGGACTAGAACTGGCGCCCATATGTGATGCCGGCACTGCAGGCGGCAGCTTTACCCGATACGCCACACCAGCCCCCAATAAATCTTTTTAAAAAGATTTTATTTGAAAGGCAGAGTGACGGGCAGGGGTGGGGGCAGGGGGAAAGAGAAAGAGACAAAGAGCTAAAGAGCTATTCCATCCACTAGTTCACTACCCAAATGCCCACTACAGCCAGTTTAGGCCAGGCTGAAGCCCGGAGCCAGGAACTTCATCCAGAACTCCCAACTGGGTGGCAGGAACCCAGCACCAGGGCCATGGTCCACTGCCTGCGTTAGAAGTATGGAGTGGCTGAGACTCAGACTGGCACTCCAGGATGGAATGTAAGTGTCCCACATGGCAGCCTAACTGGTTATGCCACAATACCCACCTCCACTTTGAACTTTTTGTTCTTGCTGCCCCTGTCATTACTATTCTTTCCTCCCTCTTTCTTTCTTTCTTTCTTCCTTCCTTCCTTCCTTCCTTTCTCTCTCTCTCTCTTTCTCTCTTTCTCTTTCTCTCTTTCTCTCTTTCTCTCTTTCTCTCTCTCTTTCTTTCTTTCTTTCTTTTCTGACAGGCAGAGTTAGACAGTAAGAGAGACAGAGAGAAAGGTCTTCTTTTCGTTGGTTCACCCCCCAAATGGCTGCTACGACCGGCGCGGTGCACTGATCAGAAGCCGGGAGCCAGGTGCTTGCTCCTGGTCTCCCATGCGGGTGTGGGTGCAGGGCCCAAGCACTTGGGCCATCCTCCACTGCCTTCCTGGGCCACAGCAGAGAGCTGGACTGGAAGAGGAGCAACCAGGACAGAATCTGGCACCCGACCGGGACTAGTACCCAGGGTACCGACGCCACAGGCGGAGGATTAGCCAAGTGAGCTGTGGCGCCGGCCCCGTCATTACTATTCTATACAGTATGTCTGCTTGCTGTTTTCCTTGAGACTACAACGAAGGGAAAACTGGAGACACTCCCATCTACAGTTAATTATTTTTCCTGCCCCGTTGAAATTAACACACTCAAAGTTAAGAGAGACATTGAATATACTCGTTTTGGCTTCAAAACGAAAGTTACCAGATAGATTTTAGCTCTATAAAATGGGTTAAGGATTAAGAGAAATGTGCTGGGTTTTTGGAGGGAAGGTAGATCTGTGTGTTCAGACACTGAGATGACTCATGCGTGAGCAGTTGGTTCCCCATCTGTACCATCTTGAGTCTGAATGCTGGGAGGCCCCCTTGCCATCAGAGTGTCTTCAACTTTGGAGAGTGTCTTCAACTTTGGAGACAGCAGGGTGGTTGGCTGCCCGTGGATAGCCCCTCCTCCTCAAGGCTTTCTGATGGCTCTTTAGAGTGGAGCTAACACAAGGGTACTTCAAAAAGTCCCTGCAGGGGTGGGGGCTGGTCTGGCAGTCAGGATCCTGGTTGGGGCATCTGCATCCCATATTGGAGTACCTAGGTTCAAGTCCCAGCTCCATCTTCCAATCCCAGCTTCCTGCCTCCGCACAGCTAGGAGGCTCCAGGTGCTGGCTCGAGTGGTTGGGTTCCTGCCACCTATTTGGGGACTCTGAATTGAGTTTCCAGTTCCTGACTCTGGCTCCTGGGTGCCACTGGAGGCATTTGAGGAGTGAACCAGCAAATGGAGCTCTATGTCTTTCTGTCCAATAAATATTTCTTTAAAAAATTTATTTATGGGGCCAGCGGTGTAGCATAGTAAGTAAAGCTGCTGCTTGCAGTGCTGGCATCATATGGGCACTAGTTCAAGTCCTGGCTGTCCCACTTCAGATCCAGCTCTCTGCTATGGCCTGGGAAAGCAGTAGAAGATGGCCCAAGTGTTTGGGCCCCTGCACTGCATGTGAGACCAGGAAGAAGCTCCTGCCTCCTGGATTGGCCCAGCTCTGGATGTGCAGCCAACTAGGGAGTGAACCAGCGGATGGAAGACCTCTCTCTCTCTCTCTCTCTCTCTCTCTCTCTCTCTCTCTCTGTAACTCTGCCTTTCAAATAAATAAATAAATCTTTAAAACAAAACAAAAAGATACAAGTCTCAGCCCACAGTGTAACTTAGTTTCCTTAAAGAAAACAATAGTAAACCTGGCAGCCATAGAGTATACTATGTGCATTTACAATAGCTATTTTGTGTATAGTAGTGTCAACATTTTTAAATTGTTTTACACTAGGAGTGGTGGGGAGTCTTGTGATTAAAGTGTGTGTAATCTGGAGTCCAGTTGGTTTTCTCCTACATCAACTGAACTTGTTTTCATAGTAGTGAATTGCTTTGTGTATTATACTTTGCATAAGCCCTCACTTTACCATGTTAACTAACCTACTAACTAATAATCCAAACACTAGCTGGGGGAATTTTATTTCTAAGAGCTCTATAATAAAATATAAGTTATTTACACCAGCATCATCTGTTACTAATATTCTGAGCTACTTAGTGCAGCTTTTCATTGTGTTGTGAGTGGTCTCAAAACTAGGTTTCTTCTCCTGCACCAAGAGGAAACAATGTGGACCTTCTTTCTTCCTTGTGGAGTTTATAACCCTTAATGTAAACTTGCTTTGAGGGAGGAGCACACAGCCCCAGCCTATCGGGCCTCTGCCCAGTTAAGATGGTGTTTGGTTAGGTTACAACTGGTTGTTGGCCTTTCCTGGGAAAATCACTTTATTTAAAAAAATTATTTATATTATTTGGAAAGCAGGGTTACAGGGAGGAGGACAGAGAGATCTTCCATCAGCTGGTTCATTCCCCAGATGGCCTCAGTGACTGGGCTGGGCCAAGCTGAAGCCAGGAGCCAGGACCCCCATCCTGGTCCCCTACATGAGCGCCAGGGACCCAAATACTTGGGCCATCTTCTGCTGCCTTCCCAGGCACATTAGCAGGGAGCTGGATTGGAAGTGGAGCAGTCAGGACTTCAACCTGCACCCATGTGGGATACTCACATCACAGGCAGCAGCTTTACCTGCTATGCCACAACAGCCTCAGGAAGATCACTTTTATAGAGATGGCCTTCCAGTTGGCTTTAAAATGTATTCTTCTTGTGAAGTTTTTAGGTCAATTGTGTATGTTGACTAAATTTAAAATTAACTTGTTTATCCAACTAAGTGTCAAAAAAAAGTTTATAAAAGTGATGGGCATTGTGGTGCAGTTGGTTAAGCTTGAACCACCTGCATCCCATATCAGCGGGTACCTAGATTAGGTACTGCACTGATTTTTTTAATATAGATTTGTGTAATTTTTTTTTAACAGGAAAGCATATTTATTTACAGAGAAATTGCCCTCAATAATGAGAAAATATACATTCTTTTCAAGTATAAGTAGAAATAGTCACAAAATTGACCTCTAAAAAGTCAACATCGGGGCCAGCACTGTGGTGTAGTGGGTAAAGCTGCCGCCTGCAGTGCTGGCATCCCATATGGGCGTTTGAGTCCCAGCTGCTTCACTTCTCATCCAGCTCTCTGCTATGGATTGGGAAAGCAGTAGTAGAAGATGGCCCAAGTCCTTGGGCCTCTGCACCCGTGTGGGAAGACCCGGAAGCTCCTGGCTTCTGGCTTCAGATCGATGCAGCTCTGGCTGTTGTGGCCAGTCAGGGAGTGAACCAGCAGATGGAAGACCTTTCTCTCTCTCTCTGCCTCTCCTTCTCTCTGTGTAACTCTGACTTTCAATAAACAAATAAATCTTTAAAAAAAAAAAAGTCAACATCATTTAAACCATATTATCTGACCATAATGTAATACAAGTAAAAACCAGTAACAAGCAGCAATTCAAAAAAAAAATTATATACTGGGGGTCAGCATGTGGCACAGCAGGTTAACACCCTGGCCTGTAGTGCCGGCATACTATATGGGCGCCAGTTCAAGACCCAGCTGCTCCTCTTTCGATCCAGCTCTCTGCTAAGACCTGAGAAAGAAATGGTAGATGGCCCAAGTCCTTGGGCCCCTGTACCCACGTGGGAGACCCGGAGGAAGCTCCTGGCTCCTGGCTTCAGATCAGCATAGCTCCGGCCGTTGCGGCCAATTGGGGAGTGAACCAGTGGACGAAGACCTCACTCTCTCTCTCTCTCTGCCTCTCCTTCTCTCTGTGTAACTCTTTCAAATAAACAAATCTTAAAAAAAAAAAAAAGAAAAAGAAAAGAAAAGTGAACAACAGCACAAACTACAGAGATAGTGCACCTCACACACCAACAGTTTTCAAACATTTGCCCTATGTCTATGTATCCCTTTGTAGTTTTAACAATTACTTAAGCTCTCAAAGAACTTACTTATGAGGATTATATTGATCAGTATTTATCATTTGAGAAATGAGAGCTGAAAACTTTTGGAAGACTAAGCAAACTTTC